TCTCTCTCTCTCTCTCTCTCTCTCTCTCTCTCTCTCTCTCTCTCTCTCTCTCTCTCTCTCTCTCTCTCTCTCTCTCTCTCTCGTTCGCCCCTCGCTCGCTCGGCTGGCCATGTGGCGGGGTTTTTCTTTTTTTCATAGGAGATGGCTATGGTGGGATGTTCGCCACGTTGTTTGGCGGATGAGGAGCGGGAGGAGCGGGAAAAGGAGCGGAAGGAGGGGTGGGAAAAGGAGTGGGAGGAGGAGTGGGAGGGGCCGCGCGAGGGGAAGTGGGAAGGGGCGGAGGAGCCGCGGGAGGAGGAGCAGGAGAAGGAGCGAGAGGAGGAGCGGCAGGGGAAATGGGGAGGGGGTTAGGAGCGGGAAAAGGAGCACGAGGGGAAACGGGAAGGGGCGGAGGAGGCGCGGGAGGAGGAGCGGTAGAAGGCACGGGAGGAAGAGGGGGAGGGGAAATGGGGAGGGGGTTAATAAACACGCGGGAGGCGGAGGAGCAGGAGGAGATATAGGTGGAGGAGTAGAAGTGGGACGAGCGTGAGGAGCGGGAGGAGCGGGAGGAGGAACGTGGGAAAGAGCAGGAGAAGTAGCGGGAGGAGGAGCAGCAGCAGGAGGGGGAGCGGGAGAAGGAGAGGGAGGAGGAGAGGGAGGAGCAGGAGGAGCGGGAGCGGGGCTATGGTGGGATCTTTGTCACGTTGTTTGGCGGAGGAGGGGCGGGAGGGGGAGGAGGAGGAGGAGGAGGAGGAGGAGGAGTGGGCAAGATGCGAAAGAGAGAGCTGACGCTCAAACCGAGCTCGAGAAACTGAGGCAAAAGAACAACTTGAAGGCCGCTCTCTGCTGCTTATCTCATCCTGGACAACCTCCCTTGAGATCAACTCACAGGCAGAAGGGGCTGAGAGGGCTGGCCTTATCAAAAAGAAGAGGGGAAGGAAGGGTGGGGAAAGGAGGGAGAATACTCTCTTCAGGTTGATCATGAGGTGTGCTGCTGTCGGAGCAGACATAGTGCACGATCGACCTCTGTGAAAACAGTAAGATCATGGACAAAAGTTTGCCTGGGCAGGTTACTGGTGGTTTAACTGTGCCTCTCATGTACAATGCTTGCCACTCTGATGAAGTTGAGCGCAAGCTTCCCGCATTCCCGTGTGCCATAGCAGCACACCGTCAGAGCCAGGGAGTCTCTGTGACGACTGTGTGTCATCGGCAGGAAATGCAGAGATACACAGCACCTCCAACACAGCAGTCCTCATAATAAGGGTTACAGGGAAAGCAACACAGCCACCACAGTGACTCACTGCATTTTTTGCTCAAGAAGAAAACAGGGAAGTGAACACAGCCACCACAGTGGCCAACATAAAGAATTAGAAGGAACATGAGCAAAGGCACTCGCAGTAAGTATACTTGTGTGCTGCGTAGCACAGCGAACGTGTTCGTGCCGCTCCGCAATGGCGCAAATGTGTCCGCGCGTTCGCACGAACAGCTCGCGAACGTGTTCGGGCGAACATAACTTTTTTCCGTAAAAAAAAAAAAATCGGTTTTTTTTTTTTTTAACTCACGTTTGGCTAAGAATTTGAACATGACTCCAAGGCAAAAGTTGCTTGCATTGTTGTTTTACATGACATATAATGATCTCAGATTTTTCTGAGACTTTTTTTTAAATATTTTTTTTATGTTCGCGTTCGGAGGGTTTTGGGCGCTAGTTCGCGTTCCGGCGATCATGTTCGGGTTCGCCTCCGAACGCGAACACGATGCTACGCAGCTTGTGTGTATGTGTGTGCGATGCTGTGTGTGTGTGTGTGTGTGTGTGTGTGTGTGTGTGTGTGTGTGTGTGTGTGTGC